TTTATTTTTTGCTTTTTATCTTAAACTTGAAGCAAAAGGCTTCTCTTCAAATGGCTTTATTTATATTTAGCTTATCGAATATTGGTGCCTTAACAAGTTCTTTGTTGCTTCGACGAGAGTATGCCATTAGCAATGACTTCAGGACTTCATATCGAAGTCATATTGGTCATGAACGAGTGGTGAATATTGATAATAACTCATCAAGATTATATTATCGCTTTATTTTTTATTCATAATTTCCGTAAAAAAACCTAACCTTTTTTACACCTGAAGCAGCACTATTCAAGAATCGCGGATTTCTCCACTCCTACATGATAGCCGAACTAGTCTTGCCTTAAAAAGACTTACTGCTCTAGCACTTGTGAAGATAAGATATTTTCTCTGACATTATATAGCTTCTGCTTGTACCTGCTAAAGAAAATATTCAATGATGTTGGAATATCTTTCATTGTGTTTTACGAGGTGAGTTAAAGGGATTAGTGAGGTGACGTCACCGCGAGTTAAAGAGCGATTGCTTTGGGGTCGCCCTGTGACCATGATGAATCCTTGCTGAGTTTTCGTCCGTCGTGACGGATATCGTCAGCATGATGCCTTGCTTTAAAATAATCCCCTTAAGCACGAATGCATGAATGGCGGGCGGCTGTAAACCAGTCTACTTCTTATTGCCTAGTGTCCACTTAATGAGACATTCCATGATTTGGTTGAATATCCTATGCTTTCCCTAATTGTTTGCTGAAAAATGAAGTGGCTGCGGATGATATGTTAAGTGGCGGCAGGTAGGCGTCAAACAGATGCAATTATAATCCAATGAATAATCGGTAGTACTTCTTATTCCCTCTCTCTCTTATCCTCTTCAACAGCCATGGGTAGTCTCCACTTAATTTCCTACACTCATTTCTTCTATTCAGGGTGTTGGCTGCTTTGTTGATTTCTAAATATTACCTTACCTTCCGCTTACTGGTATAGTCTCCATAACCTGCTAAGCGATTGACACTAAGCTAGTCTATCTGGTGCCATGTGCGTGCAAAATCCGTTTTTTGGACTCATAAACCCAAGGTGTTCCTGTTACTCCGATCAAATTGCGAAAACCAGGTTGAGCCAACACACTAAAGTTTTACTATTTAAGTATAGTTTAAGTTTAGCTAAAATATAATTTTTCCATTTTGTAAAACATCTACAATTTCAGATTCTTGCTTACAATCCTCAGTCTTTATCATCCGTACATTCAATCAAAACTTCAGCTAAACCACTGAACTTCCTTTTAGTAAACTTTTAGTCTGGTTCATACTTCAAGGTGAATGCTATCTGAAAATACTTCTCATTTTGCCAAAATCAATTTATATTTATTCGTCTTTTGACTCATCTTATCATTTTGCTGAGGCAAACTGGCACATTCAGCTTCCGGGATGCTTTCTATTCTCGAATCTTTCTCCAATTCATTTTTATTAGGCCCGGTTTTTAGTATGATCGATTTTTCACTTTCAACCTCACCAGATTTTTTGTCAAGTTTTTTTATAACTTTTCATTTAGATCCTTGAAACTCGCTAGTAACTTGAGAAAGACCCTCTGATTTTGCTTTTACTTCACTTGAAAGCCATTAATTTTTTATATTTATTGACTAAGGCTATGATGAATGATACAATTTTTGTGCTTTAAACTTATTTTTATTTTAGGCGACTTGACATACCCTCCAACCCAACTTGGCTCCGTCTCTCCTTCAGCGCTCAGTGCTGCTTCTGGAACTGTAGGCAGTATCATATTAGGTCCAGCTTTACGGCGTCCTCATCGTAGCAGAGATGGCTTACTCCCTGACCAGGTGAACACTCTTGGCGAAGGCGATTGGGAAAAGATGCAACAGAACCATGTGCTTGCCAGTGTTCAACAGGTGGATAGTTAGAATATCCTCACATTATTGGCTCCTCTAAAATGCTCTGCTTTTTGCATCACATCGTCTCTGTATAAATCCCTTTATAGAATTTATTTGACCTTGTTTTCGCAACTTGGTCATATTGGTATGAAGG